TTTTTTTCATCAAGCCAAGGTCCCTTTTCCTCCCCATCTTCTAAACGTATTGACAAAAAGCATCCCCTTCTTGAGATAATGTTAACTAAATCGCGGTCTAGTTTACTTTTTAAGAATTTGAAAGGCCCCTCTCAAAAGAAACGTACTTGAAGTGGGTTTTCTGCCTACTCTGCTTTTTTGATTAATTGACTGCCTATGTTTCCTTTATCTGTTTCAGCAAGATGCAGGCATGGTCGCTCCTGACGAAATGAACATTATCGCGGGTGCCCTGACCATGTCAACAAAGACGGTCGGTGATATCATGTCGCCCATCGCGGATGCCTTTATGTTGCCGCACACCGCTATTCTCGACTTTGACACCATGAACGAGATATTCTCGCACGGCTTTACTCGCATACCAATTTATGAGGGCGATCGACGCAACATCAAGGCCATCCTTAATGTCAAGGATCTGGGCTTCATTAACGCGGACGACAAGGTACCAGTGGCCACTGTCTGCAACTTCTACAATCGTTCCATCTTGGTGGTTCCGGACACCACCAGCCTAGAAACAATGCTCAATGAGTTCCGTCAAGGTCAGTTCACTTAATTTTTATTTTTGCCATTTGACCCTCTGGGTACAGGCTTCTTCTACCTTCCGATACCGGTTTTTTCCTCCAAAACCTGATCTGTTGAAATCAAAACCGGATCTGTAGACATCAAGACCGGATTATAACTTATTGCATATTAGAACTATTTCCTCTATTTATTTAACCTTGTTAGTAAAAAACAACAATCTTTTATAAATGTTTCGAATGCATGGCGTATAATATTTAATCAAATTAATCTCGACGGACATCAGATAGTGAGAAACATTGTCTAAATAATGTCTTCGGATGTTGAAAAAAACTTTTCAAGTTGACAATTTGAGAAGCGTTCTTCATTCTTTCAAGTAGATCTTCTCTTCCTTGAATTGGAGCATTCCTTCTCACATTAGATTTAAGTTGCGAGAAGACTTTCTCTCAGGGGTTCAGGAAAGGAAAATACCTTGGTACGAAGTGTATCTCGTAGGGAAACGTGTCGTAGAATTCTTGAATGGAATAGTGGAAATGAAGGCTGTCCATAAAATTGATGTATTCCTCCTCGTCGTCAAGAATATCTGGAAGGGCTGCCAAAAAATTTTGCAATACATTTCCATCTACGCTACCAAGCATTGCTTTGCAGCTAATGACGTTAACTGCATTGACAGCGAGGATCATAGTTATAACACAGGTATCAACTGATTCGGTTTTGGTGTCTACAGATCCGGTTTTGATTTCAACAAACCCGGTTTTGATTTCAACAGATCCGCTTTTGATTTCAGTAGATCCGGTTTCTGGAAAAAAAAACCGGTAATCTTAACTGTAAA